TGAAGGACCTGACCACCATAAATTATAATTTGCGAGAGCATGGGGAGCTAGACCGCGAGAAGCACAATCGGCAGGATTGTCCTGCGTTGGAACATGACGCCAAGAAACTTCAGGCAGCAAGGACTGAATGATCGAAACGCGATTGGCAACGAAAGTTTTCCATCGAGATGGAGACTGACTTAGCCAAGCGAGTGTGATGGTTGAGTCGGTCCAACAGTGACATTCGATACTCGGAAGTTGAAGAGCGGACCGCACATAATTAACTAACCGAGCGAGAAGGAGCGCCGCCGACAATTCCAATCGGGGAACGCTTATCGTCTTGAGGGGAGCCACTTTCGATTTTGCGATGAGAAGAGAGATGTTAATTGAGCCGTCGACATTAACAACGCGAAGGTAAACAACGGCTGCGAAAGCCATAGTTGAGGCATCGGAAAAGCCATGGAGTGCGCTGTGCAGAGTATGAGATCCGTGCGTCGTCCAACGCGGAATACTGAGCGTCTCGAGATGCGGTAGTTGGTGATGATAAGTTGCCCAGTGGTCGAAATGTTCACCCGGAATGTCGTCGTCCCACTGACATTGGATCGACCACAATCGTTGCATAAAGATCTTTGCACCGATGATGACGGGAGCGGCCCATCCCATCGGATCGAAAAACCCAGCGATTGTCGAGAGAATAGCTCTTTTCGTTTTTCCCGGCGAAGACGGGAGAGATACGCGAAGTTGAAACGCATCGAGCTTTGGATTCCAACTAACTCCTAACACTTTAAGGTGTTCATCGTCTTGGAGGACTTTGTGAGTGGCTAGTCCATGATCGGCAGGATCGAGGTCTGACAAAAGATCTGGAGAATTACTTGCCCACTTTCGTAGGCGAAAGCCTCCTTTAGCGAGAAGCGCGATTAATTGGTCTCGTGTTTGCCGTGCAAGGATATGATCGTCGGCTCCGAACGCGCAATCATCAACGTATGTTTGATGACGTAGAACAGGGACGGCCAACGGAAATTGAGCACCGTCATCTTCAGCGAGTTGGTCTAGCACTCGAAGAGCGAGATACGGAGCGGCGGCAGTGCCGTACGTCACGGTAAGAAGACGGTAGTCGCGAACAGGTTCGCTGGGAGAAGAGCGCCATAGAATGCGCTGGTAATCAGTATCGCGGAAGTCAACTAAAATTTGACGATACATTTTGGCGATATCGGCGGTAAATACGTAACGATATTGGCGCCACTGCATTATGACAGCGGCCAAATCCTTTTGAAGTTTAGGTCCGATAAACATATTATCGTTTAACGAGGTTCCGTTAGTGGTACGGCAGGATGCATTAAAAACAACCCGCAGTCGAGTAGTTGCACTACTGTCACGTAAGACAGCATGATGCGGTATGTAATAACTTTGATCCGGTTGGACAATTTCTGTCGGTGGAATTTTGATCATATGACCAAGGTTTTCGTATTCCTTGAGAAAGTCGTGGTATTCTGAAGCGATAGATGGATTGCGTTTGAAACGTCGCTCTAAGCGATAGAGGCTCGATTCGGCAATGAAGCGAGATTCTCCTAACGAGAGTGGTGGTCCGGTTTTAAACGGTAATCTAACAATATAGCGTCCTTGAGGAGTGCGGGAATGGGTAGCGAGAAAGTGCTCTTCACACTTGCGCTCGTCAGGGCTATGGTGTTGGGTCTGAGGGACCTCTTCAGTCTCCCAGAAACGACGAAGGTCGAAATCTAACGCTTCAAGGACGACTCCGTGATGCGCGGTCTCAAAAATCGAAAGATTGGTCGGGGACGAAGCGATTGGCCCGGACAAAATCCAACCGAGAGTAGTATTTTGCGCGGTGGGCTCCGTTTCGGAACCTTGTCGAACACCATCGAGTACGAGCATGCCGTATAAATCCGCTCCGATTATCATATCAATCGGGTCGGTACTCATGGGGTCACTATCCGCTAATTGGAGTCCGTCGACATGGTTCCACGTACCCGTCGTGCTTATTCGATTCGGTACATATTTTGTCAACGATCGAAGAATGAGTGCGGTCGTTGAATAAGCGGGTTCGTCGCGATTCGCCGGCGTAATTGTAAGATGAGCGGCGTGACGGACAACGGATTGCATCTCGCTGATGCCGGTGACGAACATTGAACGATTTATTTTAGAGAGTCGTAAACGTTGCGCGAGCGATTCGGTAATAAACGTAGAAACGGAACCTTGATCCAGAAGTGCGCGTGCAGTTATAAAACGTCCAACAGGCGAATAGACTCTCACCCGGGCAGTCGCAAGCAAAATATTAGAATTAGGCGCGACGGTTTTCGATAGTAAATGCGACATGACTTCGTTTACATTTGCGCTTGTTGCTGGCGGTGACTCCGTTTGCACCGGCGGAGTCGAGTTATCGAAATGTAATAACGTGTGATGACGTTTATTACACTGGCGGCATACGCGCGAATTCGAACAATCTTTGACGGAATGCTTACTACTAAAACAGTTTAAACATCGTTTTCGCTGCTTAATAAAATCGAAACGTTGAGAGGGTGTTTGCTTTAAAAATGTCGAACATTGGTATAATAAGTGATTGGCCTTGCACAACGGACATGCGAACGAAACGGTGGACGCGGTATGCGACACAAGAATTTTTCCTTTAGAGGTAGAGGATGGTTTTTCTTTAGAAAGTGGTACGATCGCCTCGAGAGCGCGAATTCGAGACTCAAGAAATTGATCGAGCTCATTATAACGCGGATATTCCACCGTATCGCCGAGCTTGAGTTCCCAAGCTTTACGCGAGTATTTATCGAGTTTTTGTGCGACGAGCAAAACAAGCAAATCATCCCAATGTTCGACAGGACGGTTGAGATTTCTAAGCGCTTGGATTGCTTTGTTTGTTTGGTCGCGAAGCTGACGAAGGTCATGAGCGGTTTCTGTGGTCAGTAACGGCAAATTTAACAGCGATTGTAAATGCGTTGTAACAAGACGACGTTTGTTGTCGTACCGAGAGACTAGAATTCTCCACGCGACGTCGAAATTATTATTGGTTACCGCGAGGTGGTCAAGCGCGTTACTTGCATCCCCTTTTACACATGAGCACAAATAATGTAAGCGATCGACATTTGATAAACTATGATCATTATGAATCATCGATTGGAATTTATCGCGAAAGCTTTCCCACTTGTCGATGCTCCCGTCGAAGGTCGGTAGGTTGATCCTCGGAAGATGCGACGCGGGTCGGAAAACATCATGCAAGCCACTTACGTTTTGTGATGATGTAGCGGGAGGGATGCGGGATTCGTAGCTCTCTAATACCTCAGCCATGTAGTCGGCAGCCTCGTTGTAGCAGTCCTCACATTCCAGAAACGAATTCTTTGTGAAGTAGGTATGCGATGCTTTGTCGTCATCGTCCGCATGAAGCCCGATTCGACTGTCGAGCTCCTGGCAAGTGGCAAAGGCTTCCTTCAAGGTGACGAGACGTTGACGTGTCACCGCAGGTGTCATTTTGGCTTGCCCCAGCTTCTTGTAATTGATGAGCGCCCGTGATACGAAACTCATCTTCTGTGTTTGCAGAGCCAAAAGCTCTTCGAAAGATGTCGAGGTGTTCATATCGACGATCGTGATTCGGAATGCCAATAATTGTCCTTGGCGACGATCCGGCTCGAAGGACCAAAATGTTTTGTTTCTCGTTGGTAAAACCTTGTATAGAAGGTTCGCACGCCAAGGCGGTAGTTTTCGTTAATGGTCACTCGCGGATTCGTTTTAATATACTTTTATTCAAATCACAAATTATAATAAGAGTGTTAGAAACGAGGCGGACGATATTTCAACAAAAGGTGTATCGATCTATCTCGTCTCGTGGCTGGACGCTCAATAATGATCCGAGACACGTAGCCAAGGCGCGAAGCGAGAATTTTGGGGATTTGCGCAGGCGATTCGCGTCGAGCGAAGGAAAAGACAGGCGAGTAACACGTGGATCACATGTGTTTTTGACGTGTTGTCCCGCGTTGGCGCGAATAATTACTGAGATGTCGAACGATAATATAAACGGAGAATTGAACGACCTATACTTTAGGATTAGGCTTATTCCTGAACACAGTGTATATTATAATTTTGTATTCTATTTTAAAATAAATGTCTAATAAATTACTTATAAACATTTTTTACACATTTTTAACTTTTTATAATGGCTAATAGAGTTTGAAAAACACAAAAACATCTAATCGACCAAATTTTAGATTAGACTATATCAACCGATCGTTTTGATTAAAAAATCATTGATTATATCTTTTCAACTCATGATTTCTTACTGACAATGAGTGTTTATTAAAGAAAATATAAATTTAAAAAATCTGTATTATTAATGATTTAATAAATATATTTATAATATTTATCATAATATTTATCGTAAATATTTTTTTATATTTATGGTAAATATTTATAATCTATTGAATCTAAGACTTCAAAAACATTTATAAAATATTTATGATAAATATTTATAAAATATTAAAATAATTATTATAAATATTCTATAAATATTTTATAAATATTCTGTGCTGTCTGGATATATATCACAATCGTATTGTTACGTTCTGACTTGTGGAAAGGAATGTCAACAGGAGGGCGTAACATATATTTGTCTCAATAGTGAGTGCTCTCGAGTCGAACGAATTTGTAAAGATCGCCGAACAGGTCAACGACCAGAAGGGCTGCTTTAATTCAGTCGACAGGTATAGTTCGTTCGTTGGCCCCTTAAAAGAATTTAATCTTTATTATGCAGGAACGGACCCTAAAGCAATCTCGGAATGGAAGGAAATGGAAGCGAAATCAGTTAAGTATTACAAATAAATAATAAATTCATTAATAAAAATTTAATTTATTTTCTACCTTAGAAATTTTCTTTTAAAATGTGAGAAAACGCATATTTACATAAGAATATAATCTGTTTCTTTTCTTAACCAAATATATAAGCATATGTGTGTATATACTTATGTTGTGTGTCGGATTCGCGAATGGTGAAAGAAAGAGTGTAACGTTAAGACATATGAATAGTATTCCGATTGGCATTTATAAATTGTAATCTAATAATTGAAATTTTAAATAAATTATTGCAAGTTACTTGAAGGGATCATGAGAGTTCTGTGATTTTAGCAGAGCAACGGAGATAAATAAATAACCGCAATCAATGGGAATATACCAATCGAACATATTATTAATGAGGATCAGGGTTGGGTAAGTTGATGATTTTTTAAGTTAAGTTAAAGTTAATTGCTTATAAAATTAATTTAGTTAAGTTAAAAGTTGCATGAACAAAAAAATAACTCAGTTAAAGTTAAGTTAAAATTAAATTTAAATTAAAAGTTAATTTTTAAAAGCATTTATATTAAATTAGATTTTTTTTGTTAATTTTTTAAAAATTTATAATAAATAACAAAAAATTTTTAATTTTTTACGAACAAAAATTAACTTGGTTGAAGTTAAGTTGAGATTAAATTAATTGAAGTTAAATCAAAATTTAATTTTTAAAAACATTATTTATATTAAATTAGAATTTTGTTTGTTAATTCTTTTAAAATTTATTACAAATAACAAAGAAATTTTGATTTTTATATAGAAATAAATTTTTCTGTAATTACAATTGATGACAAATAAACATAAAAATTAATAATACTTTAATTTAAAAATAATACATTTATAATTTATAGAAAACAATAATAGTATTCAGAGATTAAAAAATCTAACTTAGGAAAAAAGTTAATAAGGTTAATAATAAGTCAAAAATAATTATAGTTGAAGTTAAAAATGATTATATTTTAAATTAACTAAGCTAAAATAAAAGTTATTAACTTTTAACTTTTTTTTAATTTTTAACTAATGAAGTAGTTATTACTCAACTCTGATGAGAATATATCAATCAGATAAGGAAAATCGAGGATGAGAAGCAAGAGATATAAGACTACGATAAACTTTCTGTAAGAACTCGTCTAAATTGAGATTTGTTTAGCAGACTCGAACCTATTGTATAAGTCATATATTATAAGTGCATAGCTTTTCAGATAATGGAAGCTTTAATAGGGAATCGAGAAATTAATCAAGCGCGGAACTAACAGCTGTCAACGCCGAAAGGATTTATCCCTCTTCTAATAAATTCATCTTCAAAATGATGTAACGTGAATTTATTCTGGATATATCTATTATATCTCTCGAATTTCTGGATGAAAATAGGGGAAAGCTGAGGATTATAACGGGGTGTGCGTGTTTTTATTGTACAGGGTGTCCCGCATAGGAAATTGCTGAAACTAATCAGCTATTATTTTTTAATGCGTGCAGTTATTGAGAAAACAAAAATTGTATTGTAAAGAGGAAAGTCTGCAGTTTTTAATGGATATAAATAAAATGTTTGTATACTAGTTTCTATTTTATTGAAAAAAAAGTAATGAAAAAAGTGCTAATAATCACATATGTAAACTAATGACAAATATTTTCGAAGTGCCCATCATTTGAATTTGTACAAAATTCTGTTCTTTTAAAAATTCGTAAAAGTTTTTTCTAATATGTCATTTTTAATGTTAATGCATGACAATCTTTTTAATAGCTGCTATTAAATCTGGCACTGTTAAAAATATTTATTATTAGTTTATGTGAGTCGATGTGATTATTAATTCATTACTTTTTTCATTACTTTTTATCAATAAAATAAACTGGTATATACAAACAATTTATTTATATTCATTAAAAACTGCAGATTTTTCTCTTTCCAACACAATTATTGTGTTCTGAATAACTGCATGCATTAAAAATGACAGCTAATTAGTTTCAGCAATTTCTTATTAGAGACCCTCTAATAATATAATTAGAGGGTCTCTATTCCTATGAAACACCCTGTATGTCTAAATGTGTGTTCATTAATATCTAAGTTATAATTATTATTATTATCTTTTTTGATAAGCGATGTATAATTAATATGATTTAAGTCAATTTTGTTAAATCTTAAGTTGCATCGACTTGCGCACGAGCCAAATCTCGATTAAGGTATTGATTCTGGTAATTTCGCGACCGTTTAATAATTCTTTAAACTTTAAGAAATTCGCGTGTTCTCTAAAGAACAGAAATAATGAAATAAATCGTAAAATATTCTCCTAAATTATTATCTTTAAACATTGATTTTTATTTTATCACTACATTATGCCAAGAAAGTTTGTCAAGGAAACTTAAAACATAGATGCAACATGCAATTTTCAAAATTATATTTAAAATGTATGTAGATGAATATATAACCCTTATGGGTATTTATCACTAGTAACTAATTACTGTACATCAGTATTTTAAGTACTCGAAATAAAAGTGATTATTTGGACTTAGTAGTGATCAATTTCCATAAAGGAAAAGTAATAATATAAACATATAGTTACTTTATTTTACAAATTAATCACATTATGTATATATCTCAATCCTTGATATCAATTTTACAGTAATTATTTATGTATATTCCTCTTTCTAAAAAAAGACATATGTATAATAATAAAATAACCAAAAGATACAAAATCGATCTTTTATTTATTTCCCTAATTAATTAACATATACATATATTAACGTTTCGACTTTACTTAGTCTTCTTCACTATAAATTATTAAAATTATAAAAATATTCGGTGAAGTACTAAATGATTTACCGCTCTTCCGTATAACGTGTTAAAATTGTAAAATTATTCGGTGAAGTCATACAATGATTTAACGCTTTTAGTGATAAACATTTATTTAGTATTTCACCGAATATTTTTATAATTTTAATAATTCACTTTTATCTGGGCATATATTTTAACAGTTCAGCTAAAAAGAACAGGCCTATTATTGTCACTTTTCCGCGATGCTGATTGGCTGTCTCGATTCGCGTTGTTATGCGTTAGATTCATAGCATCGAGTAGCTGTTGAGAAGGTTAACAATTTGACAGTTATCACCGTAAAATATATACAGTAGCGTGCAAAAGTTTTGAGCCAAAAGGTTTTCAGATATGTATTTGTTATACAATAATCGCTAAACAAAAGTTCATATATATAAACAAATATATTTATTTGTACTTCAATTATATAAGCTTGACAAACTCTTAATGATTTTAAATACTTTATTTTATCACAATGTTTTATTACAAACAGTGCAATAGTATTGCGCCAAATATTTAATATTTTCATAAAACAAAAAATATTTTTGAAAACTAACAAAAAATATAAAGTAAATCTTTTTTAAACTTAATACTTTGTTGCCATGCCTTTAGACGCAATCACTGCAGCACAACGGCGAGGCATTGATGCAATTAAGTTAGAAATGCAATTTTGTGATAAATTTTACCATTGAGTTTGCAAATCTTGCCATAATTCTGCCTTATTTGAATGTTTTTTTTTCCTGAGTAGTTTGAGTTCTTGCCACAAATGTTCAAGAGAATTCAAGTCCGGTGATTGTGATGGCCAGTCAAGAACTTGAATTTTTTTTGTGGTAAAAAATGATTTTATTAGTTTTGATGAGTGTTTGGGGTCATTATCTTGTTGGAAAATCCATCCACGTGGCATTTTTTGAGTTGCATATGGCAACATATGCTGTGTCAATATATCACGATACATTATTACGTCCATATGGATCAACTCCATCATAAGAAAATGATCCCCAAACCATCACATTACCACCACCATGTTTTATAGTAGAAATTTGATATCTTGAATTATATCTTGTGCCTGTCGGACGTCGTACATACTTTCTACCATCATTTCCAAATAACTGAAATTTTGATTCGTCGGAAAAAAGTACTTTTCGCCATTCAGCTGCAGTCTAATGTTCATATTTTCTTGCAAAATTTAATCGGGTCTTTCTATTTCTTGCACTAATTAATGATTTTTTAACACCAACACATCCTACAAGTCCCACTTTCTTTAGACGTTGAGATATTGTACTCCGACTAAAATCAGCAAGATTTTCTTCTCGTAGTTTTCGATAAATATCCATAGCAGTTTTTCTAACATCTTCTTTTAATCATTTTATCGACACGCTTTGTAGTTTTGCGAGGTCTACCGCTTCGTGGTTTATCAACTAGAGAGTTCGTTGACTTATATTTTGCAATAATCCTATTTACTGTACTTTTATCAATTAATAAACACTTAGCAATTTCGCGAGAAACCTTTCCTTGTAAAGAAAGTTTAATTACGGCTTTGCGTAACTGAATGTTTGTATGTTTCGGCATTGGGGGGGGGGGGGGGCGACAAGCAAGAGACTGAATATTAATTGAAACAAATACTTATACGAAGGAATGTAAACAAAGCGCGCTTGCAAGGTCACAATAAGAATGTGGCTCAATACTTTTGAACGCAGATAAATATTATTCAACTAAGTAAATAACAAATATGTAATTTAAACATTTTTTTAACTATACTATTATTTGTTTAATAGTTACATTAACTATTTATATAAAATTTATTTTTAGAGTAAATAAATTTTATAGTGTATCTTAAAAAAATAGTTTGGTTCAAAACTTTTGCACGCTACTGTATATACATTTTATATAAATATATTGAGATATTAATTAAAAAATAAATAAGCGGACTTCAAAATATGGGAATACGTCCTTGAAATGATCCGCAGTTTGATAATAAAAATATTAAAAATGTGACGTGTCCATACCTAACATAATGATTCGTATATTGGGTCCTAAAATTTGGAAAACTAGACAACACAACGCGCGCTTCGCGCGCACTATTGATATTGTTTTTCTTTTTATTTTATAACTGTTAAATTGTTAATCTTCGCGATGACAGTTGCTTAATAATTTAACAACAAAACGACTCAAGATAGACAATCGCAGAAAAGCGGCAACATACTTGCAAGAATGTCCTTTTTAAAAGGAACATAATTTTAATTCCCGAATTTCTATTATGTATTACATAATTTTAATTCGTCGAATTTTTATTATGTACATAATTTTAATTTGCCAATTAATATTACAATCATAATTTTAATTCGCCAAAATTCTATTAAGTATTGTACATAATTGTAGTCACTGAATTTCTATTATATGTATGTACATAATTTTAATTTTTCTATTATATATACATAATTTCAAATCATCGAATTTCTATTATGCACATGATTTTAATTCATCGAATTTCTATTACGTACATAATTTTAATTCGTCGAATTCTATTACGAACATTATTATAATTCGTCAAATTTCTATTGTACATAAATTTAATTCACCGAATTCATATTACGAACATAATAAAATTTACCGAATTATGTATATAATATAAATTTATCGAGTTTCTATTATATACATATAATTTTAATTTGCCGAATTTCTATTATGTATATAATTTTAATTTGATGTATTTCTTTTATGTAATAATTTTAATTCGCTGAAATTCTATTATATATATATTTTTATTCTTGAATTTTCATTGTGTACATAATTTTAATTCTTTAATCTCTATTATGTTTAAATTTTGATTCGTCGAATTTCAATTATGTATATATAATTTGAATTGGCTGAATTTCTATCAGGTACAATTCCACATTATTCGACAAATTAAAATTATGTACATAATACAAATACGGCGAATTAAAATTATATGCATAATAGATATTTAAGAATAAAAATTGTGCACATAATAGAAACTCGACAAATCAAAATTTAAACATAATAGAAATAATGTAAATGTAAGAATTAAAATTATGTACACACTGAAAATTCAACAATAAAATTTTGTACATAATATAAATTTGTCTAATTAAAATGTGTACATATAATGGAAATTCGACAAATTGAAATTATGAACATAATAGAAATTCACGAATAAAAATTGTGTGCATAATAGAAATACGGGAATTAAAATTATGTACATAATAGAAATTTGATGAATTATAATTGTATATAAGAGAAATCGACAAATAAAAATTATGTACATAATAGAAATGAGAGAATTAAAATTATGTATTATGGAGACAACATATAAAAAAAAAAAAATAATGATTTTTTCAAACTGATGTCTGAACGGTTAATAATACAAGGCTTCTGAAATCATGGATTAACTGCAAAAAGAAGATATGTACATCTAAACAACAACTAACCTTTTAATTTGTGTAGACAATATGACTTT